AAGTTATTATTTCATTATAGATCATATAAATTCAAATATGTATATATCCTTTGTAATGTCCCAGCATCATAGTGTGTACGTCCGTGAATGGTTTTCACCATTTGTAAGTTACGTCAAAAGTGAATATCAATAGGCCATGGTTATATAAATGGTGTATATTATATTATAACCATCAATAGAATATCCGGAATTAGCCGTGTTTGTGTATTATGCTATTCCGTCTCCGTGTCTTGTTTCTATGTTATGTTATTTGACTTCCTGTTCCGGAAATAAAATGAAAAGTTGAAGAGTGAAGTTGTTTCGATTCATCTCTAAGTAATCCACTAACATCGCAAACCCAGTACACCATACACTTATAATATATGTGTAAAGGTAAATTGTTATAAAAAAATGTAAATAATAGATAGGGAAATAGTATATCTTATATTTCTAATTCATTAAACGAACGTATTTTACAGCTGAGTGTTAATTTCCAGATTGTACTCGTATATGTTATATGTGTATCGATAGCGTTATGTATACATGTAGTAAGAGTCTTGCATTTTGTATCATTGCAGGGTTAGATTTATTTACAGTAAACCAGATGGCTGAGTTTTACTAAGCACCTTAAGTTAAGATTTTATCGTAACCTTAACTTACGTTTAATCTCCGTCTTGCAACGGAATTAGATATCGAAGTCCGTGGTCTTACTAAACTTCGTTTCTTAAGTTACGCATCAAAAAACGTCGTAACTTACGACAGCTAAGGGGCTACCCTAACTTACGAATTTGTCTTTAGTTATGAACTTTCTTAACTTACGCAAAATTAATCAAATGGATTTATTTAGCGCTACAGGTTTCTTTGGCAGGTCATCTTTCAGCTTGTGAACGACATCAAATATCTCATTTCATCCCAGGCAAGATTAAAGTACTTTCCAAGCTCAACATGATATTGGATTTTGTCTTTTATTTTTTAAACGAAAATTGTTGCCATCAAATATCTGTATCCCTGGCCTCTGTTACAACAATTAATAATAATACAAAGAGAAAAAGAAAAATGTTTTGAGGCGTGAAAAGAAAAGGAAATGTAGATTCTCCGTTTTTGTTTTAGGGGTCTTTAAATTGATATGTATAAGCATCATATGAGAGTATGTTCAAACCAATCATATACAAAAAGTAATTGATTTTCTGAAACCATAATACAATTACAAGTTTACAATTTGTCTTGGTTATATTTAAAAGATCATGTTAGTGCAGGCAAATTCTCCATACATGTACACCCAAATCGCCACCCGGTGACGAAATTGTGTCATATCGCGTCGTATTTACAAAAGGTGTGACGTCAATTACGTCACCGAAGTCATCAGTACAGTCAAAACTTTTAAAAATTTTGACGAAAAGTGGTATAAGAAGAAAAAAGCGATATTACTAATTTTAAAATCGCTTGTAACATGACGACGATCTAAAACATTTGATCTGTGCGACAGACATCTCGTCAACTAATGCGATCAATCTTACACATACACATTGTGTTACATAATCCACACAGAGGAGAAGTAACAATGGGTACCTTATGTTGAAAGAAATAGGTAAATAAATAAATGAAAGGACAGTAAAGAAAGACCATAATGCTGTTAAGGTTTAAGTAATCTTCTACACAGCAGGCACAATGATATAAATAGGCTTTCTGTTTGTTTGTTTGTTTCTTTTTTTAATTATCTACAGTCGAACCTCGAACCTCGTTATCTCGAAGTCGACGTGGTCGTGGGAAAACTTCGAGATATCCGAGTATTCGAGGGGGGGGGGTAGGAATTTAAAACTCAGAAAAAGACAAATTTAAGCACTTATCTAGATCTAATAAATCATAATTGTCATGTCGGTTGTACATGTATACTTCTTTCTGACAGCCAAAAATATACAGAACTTTATTTTTGAGATTTTTTTTTCTGGAGATGTAATACTAAACTTTTTCAAGCACTGCCGAGCATAGAAAGGAAGAATTTATTTGACATTATTTCCATTGTCAAACTGAGTTTGCTGTATTATTCCAGGTTATATTTTAAAACATAGAGCATTTATAGTTTATGATGGCCGAGCTTAGCCAGTGTTACCAAATCTCTAAAACGATAGTAAAAATGTAGGTTTTTGGTTAAAATGTTGATGCTTGTGTCATGCCCTTCATGTGCATGTAGTTTAAGCGAGCATTTGGCAATTAAATATTGATTTATTTTGTCATAAATATGAATTATGATTTAACTGTTTGTCTTTTATTGTGAATTTGTACGCATACATGCCAAGCTTTTATGCTAACATTGGTTATTATTCACCTAAAAAAGTGATGCTAAGGATGGTGCTTTATTGTCTTTGAAATTTTTGAAACTCATAATTCTTAATTGGTATAATACATCACTCCTGGTGATCATGTGTATATGAACCACAGGTGAACATACAGATTTATCTATCATGAAATGGACTCATACATTTGAAATAACTCGGAAAAGATGTTCATAAACACGGAATGGCGAGACGCCGTACTGTTGCTTTTTATTTGTTTCAAAATATTAATAAGTGACAAAATGAAATTTGAACACTATGAGGTAGACGATGCTTTGATGTTGAATTTACGCTATTGAAACCAATATCTTACTTCGATGTATCTGAGTTTTTTTTTTAACTTTTCATGGTTCGAATTATCATAGTTTTATTTACTAAGATAAAGAAGAGACTTGGCCGGGACCGGATAAATATTTCGAGATAAACGGGGTCTTCGATTTAAAAGAGTTCGAGGTAACGATGTTCGACTGTAAATATATTCATGGCGGTTGATATAACAACTGTATACGTATTAAGGAGCTATATGGTACACACACCATACGTGAGAAGGATGGTAAATCCGTTTTTGATAAATACTTTTCTATATTTCTGGATCCAATTACCTATAAAAAGCACACAAGATTAGCTGGTTTACTTTAACATGATTCAGACAGTAATTAGGTCAGTTATACAGCTTTTCTTCAAATGATATTTACTATAGTATTTGTCAGCAATGTGCGAATCCGCTGACTGGTCAGCAATCAAGAACCGCGGTTAGAATCCTGAGCGTAGTACATCTTTCAAGTATTTAAAGGATGCCACTTGCATCGTCAAGTTCAAGGAAGCATTGCAAAAATAGTATAATCAACACTTTTGTAATCGTAGCATCAGTACCTGTAGCGTTGACCTTAACGGACTTAAAGGGAAAAACAATATTGTTGAAATATGTTTTGATTTTAATCATGGACTTAAATGACTGCATGTATAGTCCACTACGTACATTTTATACATTATTACGGTGGTTTACTGAATTTTGCTTGAATGATAGAAGTGGCAAATCAAACTGGCGTGGACATGTTTTGTCGTTTTTTTCTTTTCTTTAAACAAATGAAACAGCAGTTTCCGACCCTGCCGTGAATTGTTGTTGTTGGTTGATTGTATTAAAAAAAAATCTTACGTAAACAGCATTTCTTTACCTCAAATAAACTATCACAACTTAGAAAAGTTATATTTTTTTCCAACGTTAATCATTGTTAAACACACACATTTGGAGCACATCGACATACATAATTTTACATATATACACTTATATTATTTGCATATTAATGAAATGTTTCAAGGTGGCAACACTGAAACTTTGAGCAAAACACGGAATACCTGACGTCACAAATGTTGCTGCGTGACGTTATTCAGGCGTGTTAAGAACAATGTTTATTTAGAGACATTTCAGTGAAAATTTCTTCTGTATTGGTAAACGTGGGCATTTTTATATTTTACACTCTATATTCGGACGAATTATTAACTGAAACCATTACTAATGTGACGATTTTGTCTTCACAAACATAAGCATGAGCTTGGACACAATTTAATTGTACAGAACCGCGATTCTTACATAGATCCCCCCTCCCTACGAGACGTATATATACTACACTTCTACACGCTGTATGTCTCTGCCCTACCCCTTCCCAGTATGGCGGGGGTAATCACTAGAACATTTCTTTCGATTTTGCTGTTGTTGTTTATCTGAGTTAAAGTGAAGTAGAATGTATGAAACAACCCCCCTCTGTTCACATCTATTTCTAATGTAGCGGCATTAATGACGTGACCTACTTCAAATGTAGGCATGCTGCCAAATTTGGCAAACAAGTGAAACTGGTGACTGCGCTTGCGTGGTGTTTGTTACTAAGATGAATCCTACCTTTAATACAAGAGAGTTCTGAAATCGTAACCTACGAAATCGTCGTAGGTTAAGTTTACGACGAAACTTACGAACGCTTTAGTAAAACAGACATTCGTAACTTAAGTTGTGCTTACGAAATTCTAAAGTTGGATGTATTTGCGTAACTTAAGTTGCTTAGTAAAACTCAGCCCCTCGGTTTCAGTAACATTACCAACAGTAATTTATTTACATATTTTGATGGCACTTATACTTGAAATACTTTCATTCTTAGATTACTCCGTTAATTATTTTCCAAATAACAACATCAAGTGTTAAAGCAAGGATTTAAATCATATTCTTTGGTTTAAACACGTAATCAGATATGACGGTGGTTTGGTAGATTGACTGAGTTAGCTATAAGTGTGATTTGACCGAATACAACGAACCGGTACTAAGGTTAAGTGGCCCCATTGACCGTTCGTGGGACCGGATAGGGCCGCGTTTGTTCCGAACGAATATACAGGCCTTATCGGTCGCTATGCATTTGTACAGCGTCTGGCTAGCGAGCGGTCAGCGTTCGGACACAGACTGGACACCGTTTGTCCTCCGTTCAGTTACAAAAATAAATAAAAAAACATCACCGTAATTATAACTATACATAACATCGGTGTGAATGATTTCTGTGGCACTCCGTGTACGCGTAAAATTGGTTCTAGACCCCCTAGAACCCTATACTCGATACCAGTCAAAAACGAGAGTTCGTTCGATTCTATGTTTATGAACATAGCTCGGGAGAGTGCCATTTTCAATCTTTCATAAAGTAGGTGTAAATGACCTCCCCTGTGCGAGGAATCTTTCAACAGTTGGGCACCTGGATCAATTTCAGTTTACCTTCCTACCCGCCCGAAAGTGAAAGTTAGGTAGAATTAAGATATTCGTGAAAAGGAATAACGAATATATGTCGCACTGATTGTCAAAATGTTGAGCTAAACATGTCAGGATTTCAATATTCTATACTTATATTCTAATATCAAAAGTGATCAGTTGCAATAACAGAAAACAATAATAAATTAGATAGATAAATGAAAATAAATAGCAAGCATACAATTCGTCCAATAACGAATGGGGCTCCAGCTGTTTTCTGAAAAATATGTTTGCAACGCAGTTGTTAAATTTAAAATAGAATACCAAATTATCTACATTTATAATAATGCGTGTTTTTTTAATTGCCAAATTAATCGCCGGGTTAAAGGTATAGTGTCTATTATTTCCTGTAATGTGTTACAGTCATCAGGGACTCGGCTTTATCTACACCTTTACACTTGGCCGCCTACCAGGGAGACCTCGATGAAGTAAAGGAGCTGGTCAGGTCGGGGGCGGATCTCGGGGTAACAGATAGTAGAGGATGGACACCTCTGATGCTAGCTGTGATGGAGGACAAAGAAGATACTGCGGCATTCCTCGCCAAGAAGATGACTGTCCAGGAGTTGAATGTGGTGGACATGTTCGGGTACAATGTGTTACATCTGGTGGTTTTACGTCCTTGTCCGTGGTCACAGATAATGCAGGTCATAGTTTTTACCTGTCCTAGCCTGTTACGGCAGAAGAATAGTTCCGGGCGCCGACCGATAGATACTGCAAGAGTTATGGGTCAAGGTGTTTACGACATTCTCGGTAAGTACGCTTAGCCGTATCTATGTTGATCCTCACTTATTCACATATCAATATATATTATTATGTATGCAGAAACACACTTATTAATATAGAACACTTAGTGGAGTTTATATGTGAACACACTTCTTAAAACATTCAGCTTTTTTATGATGGTCGCAGTTATATTCAATGAATATCTGTGCTAATATATACATGTATAATACCTGTCTGTGATAGTATATCCATGTGTAATACATGTTCATAGTAGTACATGTGTAATACCTGTCTGTGATAGTATATCCATGTGTAATACAGGTCTGTAGTAGTACATGTGTAATACCTGTCTGTAATAGTATATCCATGTGTAATACAGGTATGTAGTAGTACATGTGTAATACCTGTCTGTGATAATATATACATCTGTAATACCTGTCTGTGATAGTATATTCATGTGTAATACATGTCTGTAGTAGTACATGTGTAATACCTGTCTGTAGTAGTATGTATATGTGTAATACCTATCTGTGATGGTATATGCATGTGTAATACCTATCTGTGATAATGTATACATGTGTAGTACCTGTCTGTAGTAGTAATTACATGTGTAATACCTATCTGTGATAATATATACATGTGTAATACCT